AAGGAAGGAAGGAAGGAAGGAAGGAAGGAAGGAAGGAAGGAAGGGGGGAGGGAGGGAGGGAGAGGGAGAGAGAGAGAGAGATGAAAGAGAGAGAAGGAAGAGAGAGAAGGAAAGAAGGAAGGAGGGAGGAAGGGAAAGGGAAAGGGAAAGGGAAAGGGAAAGGGAAAGGGAAAGGGAAAGGGAAGGAAAGTTATAAACAAGCAGCTTCCGATCTTCTTCACAACAGTTACATTTATATTTTGCCCTCCTTCTCTAAGGCTGCAATGTCACTTCCTCCTTTCCACAGCCTCCCCCTTTTCACCATCAAAGCCATTCCCCCCAAGTTCCCTTTTTTCTTGTTTCAGCCAAAACAAGGGGGCAGGAACACCTCTTGTGGGGGGCAGGGGGGTCCTACTTGCAGAGAAAGCCTCTCAAGGGGACGGTGGGGACCACCTCCTGCCTCTGCTCCCACTCCTCTCGGTTTTCCCTCCACAGCGCCCGAAAGCGCCCCATCCCTTACTACAGACCGAGCCCTTCCTCCTCATCGCCCAGCAGCTCCAGCGTTTACTCCTCCGGGCACAGCTGCCTCAGTTACTCTCCAGCCCGGAGTCGCAGCTACTCAAGCGATAGGAGCAGCTGCAGCAGAAGTTGGAGCAGCAACGCCCAGAGCAGCCGGAGCCGGAGTAGCGGGGGAAGAAGCAGTCCGCGAAGCAGCAGCCGTAGTTCCGCCTCAACGGGCAGCCATGACAGTTTGCGGCATTCCTAGCTGGCCCGTCACAGTGGATTTCCATCACCTTCCTCCGCTCCAACCCACACGAAGGGGCGGCCTTCTAGGGAGGGCCCTCCATCCCTCACTCCTTGGAATAATGTAGCCTACCACGGCCTGTGGTAGGGGGAAGCTCTGAAAGGAAGGCCCCCACCCCTCCTTCCATGTCATTCCCTGCCCCCCCCTTGTAGAAACTCTGCTCCTCACTCTGGTTGCATTCCCACCACACGCTGCCCTTGGTTCGGTGTTATTATTTCTTTGTGGCTTGGCTTGTTTGTGCCCACGGAACCCCTTTGGGGAGGGTGTCACTGAACGAAGGGGGCCGAGCGAGACCAAAGGTCAATTCCTGGGGTGCAAACTCGGGAATGTATTGTTGGAGAAGACCACGAAGAAGGTGAGTCTCTTGTTCTTCTACAGAAGGTTGAAACAACTCAACACCCCTCTTCATGTTGGGAAGCACATCCTTCTATGCAAGCCACAAATTGTCTGAGCCATATGGGATATGGAATCCATTCTCTTCCCGGTTACCTCTCATTGACTGGCTGGGTACAACCTGCTAGGCTAGGCCCATGTGGAGATGGGCCCTTCATGCTTCAACACAAATCCAAAATCTTGTCTCCCATTTAAATGTCCCCCTCCTTAACCCTGCCTTGCAAATGTGAAGGGAAGGAACACCTAACGGGGCTATACAGGTGAAATTAAAATAACCAGGGAGCCCATTACAAAATATTTACGTCACTTCTGAGCTGGTTCTGCCAACAGACTCACAACGTGCACTGAAAGCTGAATAGACACACTTGGTTGGTACCCATGGAGAAGAGGCAAAGGGGGGTAAGTGACATCACATGCGTCACAACACCCTCACACACATGGCACCACATTGTGTGACAATGATGTGACAAACTCACTCTCTTGTGCCTATAGCCAGGCTGTTCGCACAGCACACTTCCCAGCTTACCGAATTCATCAGTTTTCTGAGTTCACACAACGCATTGAACCCTAAACTAACTGGTGGAATGAACTCAACATTTTGTTTAAGACAAAAAACTTGAAAAGACCTACTCAAGGTTAACCGGAACCAAGCTCAGCATGTTTGTGTGAAAGCTTAAGGGTGTTCTTATGTAGGCCCCAAATGTTCAGATTTCCAGACTTTTCCAACATGGTGAACAGCTCAAAGCCATCCAGATACAGAACCAAGTCAAATGTCCATTTTCACAAGGAGAGAGAATCACATGACCCTTTAAACAGCAGCAGTTAAAAATAGGATGGCTTTTTCCCATTTTCGTTGAATTTGCCATCTTGGAGGTTGGTTTCTATGTGCTAGAAAGCAAATTGCTTCACTGGTTTGGGACATGCTTCGTTGTACTCTGGGGCCTGTGGCCATCACCTATGGAGTAAAGACAGAAGACGTGGGCTTTGTAAAACGTGCATCAATAGAAGCAACAATTCAATTTGTCTCCTCTTCTTGCAAGGCAGGATGGCCGAACAAATCTACACATTTCATCCTTCTCCCAATGGCCAGGCCACCAAGGTCTATGGGCCCCAGCAGCGGGGCTCCACTTAGAGGGCCATTCCAGGACACCTAACAATCCTTCACTTTGTTGGTCAACTCAGCATTGTTCTATGTTTCTTCTGTTATTTATTCATTCCTTTATTTATTATCTTTGCTATTCTGTTGGAATGCGTGCAAATGGTGGCCGGGTTGTTAACCGCCTTTAATTTATTGCTTTTTTTTTTTTTAATATTGTAATATTGTTATATTTTGGGGTTGGGTTGGCTTGGAGACCCACAAGCTACATCTCTGCCCACTGACTTCTTCAGCTGCCTTCTTCTCACCTTCCATCTCAGGAAAAAAGCAGGTTGTTTTTGCTCAAGGGTGATGCCAGCTAAGCGACCCTCCAAATTTGGCTGATCCTGTGGAGTCCTTGGGGTTCTCTGAGCTTGGTTGTTTTCTTGCAGACGTTTCGTTACCTGTCTAGGTAACATCTTCAGCACATTACCTAGATACATCTGCAAGAAAACCACCAAGCTCAGAGAACCCCAAGAACTCCACAGTTCAACCCTGAGCTACATAGATTCTCTTCTGCTGGCTGATCCTCTCCTAGGACAAATCAACAAGGATGTCTCCATTTTCGGGGCTATTACTCTCTTTGTTTTTTGGTTCTTTTGGGTTTTTTTTAAGTAATTTGAGCCATAAGGTAGCTAAGAAGAAGGGATCTAATAAAATACATCTAGTTTTTTAAAAATCGGGGATTCCAGGGCCAAACAATGTTTGCTGATTCTTAGATGTCGCTTTTTGCCCTTAAAAAGATCCACTAGTGGAAACAGCGTGCACAAAACACGGGATGCAGATGGGGAAATAGAAATATGATTGTGCAAGCCGTTTGGGTAGATAGGGTCAAAATCTGAACTTTGGGTAATTGCATCCAAAACGGTTTAAGTCAGTTGCCGTTATATGGTTTAGGAGTTGGGTGTTCATTTCACGTGGCTTCAAGAATTGGCTTCTTCACAGTTCCTTGTCTTAAAATTAAAAAAAAAAAATCATACAAATTGGCAGGGGTAGGGAAGAGACTAGCAGGGGTGTCTAAGGGTGTGGTCAAAAAAGTCAAAATGGTAGCCACAAAACATGGCAAGCAAACAAAAACCAAGTTAGAAAATAAGAAATAGCGAAAAAGGAAAGAAATGAGAAAAAGGGAGAACATAGTTATGCATTCCACCCTTCTTTCTATTGAGTAATTATCATCTTAATCTCTTCCCCAACCTCTTTGTCCCTTTTTAATCCCCAAATTGCAAAATCATCAATTTGATTTTTTTTTCTCTTCTTTCAACAAAAAGTCCAAAGAAGATTGAATGATAAAATTAACTGAACTTGCAGAAATGGCGAAGCTGACCCATCTGGTCAGAGAAAAAAACGATAAAGACTTTTTTGAAAGACTGGAAATCATCTTGACTTTTTTTTTAATTATAATTTTTATTTAAAAATTTTTACAGTAATAAAAGACAATCATACAGCATAAGTGTAAAGAACAAAAGAATGAAGAGAGAGATAACACAAGTAAGTGGGAAAAAAGTAAATAGAGAAAAAGAAAGAAAAGAAAATATAAAGAAGCAGCTTCTGATCTTTATAGCAGTTACAAATTAATCTCTCATCTATCCTAAGATTCTATCTTAATTCTGTTCTCCCCATATTCTGCCCTTTCTAATCCTCAAATCCATAAGTCATCAATTCATTTTTTCCCATTTTGAGCAAAAAGTCCATAAAGGGTTTCCAATCACTAACAAATGTACTTCTTGTCTTCTCCCTAATCAAACAAGTCAATTTTGCCATTTCTGCAAATTCTGTCATCTTCACCAGCCGTTCCTCCATTGTGGGTATTTCAGTATTTTTCCATCTTTGTGCATATAATACAGGGAGTCCCCGGGTTAAGAACACCTAGTTTATGGACATAGTTAAGAATGGAGCCTATGGTAGCAAAATTCAAGTTAAATACACAATCATTTGAGTTAAATGCACAATGGTTCGAGTTCATTAGCCAATACTACTTATACAGTATTACACAATAATACAGTTCCGGCTTACATACAAATTCAACTTAAGGACAGACCTTGGGAATGGAACTCGTCCTTAAACTGGGGACTACCTGTTATCAGGAACCATCTTGACTTTTTGGACCTTACCTTGCAGACCCCCCTGGAAGAGAGCAAGTAATAATGCAGAAATAACCTGGTTGGTACGAGCAATACTAGGGCATATCTGTTGCCACTTCCACCTTCCTGGAAGACAAACACCCTCTAAGACATGCTAACTTTAAGATGTATGGACTTCAGTTCCCAGAATTCCCCAGCCAGCCAACCATGGATCCTCAAAGACATGCTAATGATTGGCTATATACACCCCTTGCACTGTTTACAATTGATCGGTTTGATTTTGGTGTGGTGTGATGTCTGAGCCCAGTTTTGGTGACTTAGCGTTATGCATGAACCAAACCCTGAGACAGTTTCTCAACCTCAGCCACTTGAAGATGTGTGGACTTCAACTCCCAGAATTCCCCAGCCAGCCAACCATGGATCCTCAAAGACATGCTAATGATTGGCTATATACACCCCTTGCACTGTTTACAATTGATCGGTTTGATTTTGGTGTGGTGTGATGTCTGAGCCCAGTTTTGGTGACTTAGCGTTATGCATGAACCAAACC